ACTTCAATAATGAATATTACACTATTTATACTCATTTTAAAGAATAAAGTTTCTGCTTCCATAGTCTTAAACTTAATTTTTCGGAGCCCTTTTTGTTTTATAACAGAGCGAGAAACCAAAGTTACATTTCTTCTTTTAAAATGTTAGAGATTGAAATTACTCTCTGCAGAATCAAAAAAGATTTATTTTCCATATTCGTTTCAATGTGTCCTTATAAAGGTAAGTCCTTTTATAGGCGATACACTCCTAATTTAAAGTGTTATACAATAAAACGACAAAAAAGTCGTAGAACGACTTTTATAGTGAACATTACATAGAAGAGGCTTCCCTCTATAAAATCACATTGAAACGAATATGGACAGAAATTTTTTAAATTTCGTAAAGCCGTTTGATTTTTAAACTAGTAGAAGGAAACAAGTAATTTCAGTTCCTTGCTTCGTTTTATAACCGAAAAGGTTGTTTTTTAAAAATCTTTTTCTGTTATTAACTATTGTGCTGTTACATATGTAATTTTCATTCATAATAAAATAATAGTAACTAATATATGTATTGTATTCTATTGTAAATAAATAACAATAATTACATATGTAAATACTATGTAACATACAATATTTATATTCAAATGTTATTATCATTATTTTATTTTGTCTTACAGAAGGCTATTTAGGCTACAGAATAAATCAAACAAACGCGCGAAAAAACAAACTTTATAATTAGCAGATTTGTCTCTTTTTGAGCTTGTCGTTGTGAAACAGCCATTAAATATCGGAAACTTTTATTTTCACTGGTGACTTTCGGTAACCGGAGTGTGGTGAGACCATCCTAACCTCTAATATTGTTGATGTTTGTGAACTGTTGAATTTTCGATATACATATTATGGCAGCAAACAAAAGTGTTACCGTGCTTACGCCAAATGCACGTAGACAAACTGTTAAAATTACACCAAACACTACAATTTTTCAAGTACGTTATTTTTCAATGTCCGGTAGTTCAATGACAAGACATTTATGATTATTACCACTTTCATATATTATGTCAAAAATATTATTTTCAGGTTTTGGAAGAAGCATGCAAAAAACATGGATATAACGTAGATGATTATGATATTAAGTAAATATTACATACAAAATTAATTAATATTTTATATAAAACTGTAAGAAATATTAACTTACACTATATTTGTTTTTCAGGTACCGTAATCAGGTGTTAGATATTAATACAATATTTAGATTTACTGTAATACCAAATCATGCACAATTAGAAATGGTACCATGTACAAAAGCACGCTCTAAATCAACTGTTACAGTATGTATACAATTAGAAAGTGGAGAACGAGTAATGAATGACTTTACGCCTAATATGACATTAGCTGATGTTTTATTACAAATGTGCCCAAATGAAGAACTTGATAAAACAGTTTTAACATATATGCATCGTGAGGTAAGGAAATATTTATTAAATAACTTGCTGTATGATTTTTGTTATTTATTTTATTTTATATAACCATCATAGTACTACTGGTATAGAAGTTTATCTATTCTTACATTTAATAATAATAATTGTATTAATGCGTACTGTTTTTAAAACACAAAGCATATTATTTTCACATTTACAATGTACAAAGTTTAATAATATGTATATACTTAAATAATTTATTTGTTGTATTATAGCCATATAAATGATTTTACATGTATTATAGAATTAAAATGCTTGTCTCTTTATGAGACATGTAATTATATGTTTCAATATTTGTATATATTGATATTAATATATCCTTATTTTAATCCGTAACCTTTTATATCAAATTTGAAATAAAATAACAGTTATTATATTGAAAATCTGCAATCTAGAAATTTGAAAAATGATATTATCATTCTGTAAATTACTTAGGTAAACATACATAGATATCCAATCATTAAATATTAAATGGACTGAAATATAGATGTATTAATACATATGTTCACTTATTAATTTACTACGTTGTTAGGGAAATAATTTTGAAGAACTTTTTTCTTTACATGTTACTGGCAGTCGGCTTTAGTTTCCGAGATAATCGCGAAAAATTTTCGCTACTACTACATTGAACTGAAATATTTTGTTTCTATACAAAATTCCTTAATTTGTGCATTTACAGAAAAAATATAAATGTAAAAAATTGTTGATAATTACTTTCTTATAAAAGATCATCATCTACCAGAAATAGTATTATTTTTCAGGTTTACGGAACGACAGCTTTGAAAAGTACGACTTTAAGTTTGTTAGGACTTACTCACGGTAAAGCAATGTTACGTTTAATGCATCGAAATTCGGAAGAGACAAATAGTACAACTTGCACTACTTCCTCTAAATCGTCAAACACTAACGAGAAAACCGGAACAAGTGGTAAAAATAATGAAACTGAATCTTCTCGATTAACTAATTGTAACCGAGCTTCAGATTCTATGATTGTAGAAAAAACTACAGAAGAAGAGTCAAAGAAATTACAAGATTGTTCTGAAGAAACGGAAACAAAAGAAAGCAATAAAAGCAAAATATGTACAACAGAGGAGAATGAACCAGTACCATCAACAAGTACAACTTATCCTAACGATAATAATACAGATATAACAGAATCATGCACGCAGGATGAAATGGAGGATACAAATCAAATAGAATTCGTAAGTTATTCTTGCTACCCTGTATCTTCAATAATTACAAAAATATTCGACTGTATACGAATAAAACGGACACACTGTGTACTAATAAACTATTATCGTCTTACTTGCAATATATATATTTGCAATCTTTTATTGCAGTTAGGCGAGAGAAATGCTTTGGTTTTCAATCATGCTATGGTTCAAGCATTATCCAGAGATGAATTTCCAGACAGTTTTTATGATTTAACAGTTGATGATGCAAAAGTACTATTACGAGATGCTAAACGTCGCAGAGAAGAGTTAGAGGAAGCTCCTCTTTTAACAACTGTTCAGCGTGAAGCAAATCATGAACAACAAACATCAACTAAATTAGACAAATACTATCAGAGCATAATCCGTATACAATTTCCGGATCAATTTGTACTTCAAGGCCTATTTGAATCATTTGAAACAGTACAAACGATAAAAAATTTTATAGCAGATTATTTGAGTGATCCAAATAGCGATTTTACAATTTGTAAGTATAAATTTAGTAATTATAAATTGTAAGTTATTTAAAATTTAGATAATTTATATATATATATTACTTATTTTTCTTGAGTATTGTTTGTTATTTATAGTTATTGATTATATTAAATTCTTTTCGATTTATTATTAACTTTATATGAAAGGCATCATGTTTAAAATATCATTGTTTACATCATATCTTTTTATTGATAACATGATAGTGTTTATTAAAACAAATTTAATAAAATACAACGTAAGTTCATTGAGTATCATGGAAGATTACACTAAATTAATAATATACAATTAATAATATATTCAGACAGCAGTTAGTAATGACTTACTTAATATATACATATACATTGTATGATTATGTAAAAATTATACAATTCAAGAGAAATGAACCTATATGTATATAATGGCAGTAATATTAATAATAAGATTACACCTAAAATTCCATTATAATTAATAATACTATCATTTATAAGACAGTACATTTATATGTAATAGACTTTTAAACAATACAAGTACGTAACTTTTTATAATAGCATGATCAGATTTCGTCCAACTTCTATGCAAAATACTTGAGTTTGATTTTATAATTATTTCTCATTAAATCTCTCATATAATCAATATACTCAATTAAATTGCTAGTAATGACGTGTTATTGCATAAAAATAATTTTTATATTTTAGAAATATTCAATGTAGATGCTCCAAATAATATAACTGCATAATATAATTTTTTGTTTACTATCCGTGCATTCAGAATTTACAAATATTTGGACTTTTATTATCATTAAACTAGTCTTATAAGTTAAAGGCCATGCAAATTAAAGTTACATAATATAGTATTTTCAAAAAAGGTTAAGTACTTTATTTATCAACAGTTACTGCACCCCCGAAACACATTTTGGATCCCGATAAACGTTTAATCGATGAGGATTTGGTTCCTTCTGCTATTATTTATTATTCCGGATCGTCAAATTTAAAACCAGAAATTAAAGAAAAACTAATAGATCCTAAAGAAATTGAAATTCAAGTTAATAAAGTTAGGTAAGTGGTCAGTTACAATACCTATTCATTATAAAACTTGTTACTTATTGCATTAACTTTTTTGTAGAATGTCAATGGTTAACCCACGAAGCCCAAGAATAAAAAAAAATACTACTTCAATTAATGCAGATAGTAAATCAAATTGTAATGCAAACACTGATACGTCATTAAGTGAAAATAAAACAAAAGCTCCAAAATGGTTTAATCCATCGTTAAAATAGCGAAGTAACTTTATCATGTAAGGATGCTTTATTAATTTGTATGTACATAATAATACACAAATAAGTGTATGCATTTTTATATTACTATTATTATATTCAATTAAGTGATTCAATGTACGTTTGTAAGCCGAACACTAACATAAAACTAAATTACGTGTATAAAAAAATGTTAACTCTGTTATAATTCCTAAAGATATGAAGTGTGATATTATGAACTAAATATAATTTGTTCGCTCTAAAAAAACTTCGGAATTATAATTTTTTATTATTAGTTTGTAACAATTACCCTTACCCCAATATTATACCTATATGTACTTAGATATGAGATATTCTTTTCATAGAATTTATGGACAAGCATTTTTTCCCAACTGACGGATAATTTTAGTTTATATGAACTGGTCAACAGAGAAAATTTAAATATGTCAACACTTATTAATGTATCGTATAATCAATGTCATTAACTTTGTAAGTCGGGAGGTACAGTAGTAGGCGACTGTAACTGCAAATGCATAAACCGTCGAACGGGTCCGCCAATTATATTTCCAGCTGGTCCTGAACCACCTGCTTCTTCTTTAATGCTTTTCATTAAATTTTCTTCTATCCTATCAGATCTTGTATTTGTTTCGAACCTTTCATCTTTAACCATTTCAGATTGTAATTCTGAATTTAATAGTCGCATATACTTATCCATTTCGCCACCTTTATCTTCGTCATCTTCACCTAAAGATCCTTCTGAACTTCCTTCGAATTCGCCTTCACTCCCTGGAACAACTAAATCTAATATACCTTTCAGTGCACTATCAAATATATCTGCATCAAATTCAATTTTTCCATTATCTTCTGGATCATGCATTATGTCAGCATCTGCAGAACGGTCTCTAAAAGGACATGCAACATATAATATATAATACGCAATTTTATATAATTATTTAAAAATTAAATTTATAATACAATACCCTAAAAGTTGTACACCATCAATATCGCTAGTATGATTGAAAAACGACTGTACTTTCTCTCGAAGGCTTAGCGGTTCTTGTCTCTGGTTCTTATTTTTAACATTTCCCCATTGTTCATTTAAAAATGCCTCTAACTGTGCTGGATCCACATTTAACCAACTATCACTATCTGCAGGACTCAATGTAGCTTCGTCTTGTCCTATGCATAAAATATAGAGTAACAATAATATGATATAATATTGGAGATAATAAAAACAATAAAATTTATGTAATATTCATTATGAAGTAGTTACCATGCAGATCAACATCATTAGACTGTATACTTTCCCATGCTTCTAAAACTTTCTCTGCGTCACTTTTAACATTATTTATAGCAGAATTAAATGAATGTAAATGCTGTAAATAATAATCTTTTGCTGTATTTAGAAGCTTTTCATATTGTTGACTGCCTTTTAATAGATTTCTAAAGTAGCCACTAGCTTCTAAACGTGCTAAATATGCATTTAGAGCATATTCGTTGACTTTCAATTTATCAGAATCATTATCTGTTTCTTTTACTCTATGTCTACGTTGTTCGTGTGCATGAGCAACTAACATTTCTAAACCACACGCTATTTTTACACCAAGAATATGTGCATTGTACTTCGAACAATTGGTTGGTGGTATATTCCAGCCTGTTCTTGGATCTCCTGTATATCTACAATGCATTGCCATTGCGTATAAACACTTAGTCATTTTTACATTAACCATAATTCGCTGCTCAGGAGGAAAATATCTCATGGCTCGACACACCTATAATACACGTAATAGATTATAAAATTAAAAAATTAATTTATATTGATCAAAACTACAATATCAAATCATTACTTTTCTTTCAAGTGGATCAGAATGACAAATAGTCCTAATGGCTGGTGCAACAAGTCTTGGTTCTTGATGAAGTATCGAAACTGCCTTTTCTGGTAAAAAGACTCTAGCTTTGTGATGCCTCTTCTCAATTTCATCTGGATAACTGCTAATTCGTTTTTTTAAAGCATTTTGTATCTTTTCAGATGCTTTAGATAAATATGAATTTTGTTGTAAATTATTTAATAAATCAAGAAACGTTTTATATTTCTCACGAACTATATGTAACTCCCCATTATAAACGTATACATGATTCTCGCATGTTTCTGGACTAGCCCATGAAGGTAAAACATTAGCAGTCTCGATTAATAGAAATTCTCCATCAGAATCAACTAATTTAGCAATTAATCCATCAAACTTCTGTGTAAGTTTAAATATAAGAAATACTGTGAACCATTCATCACTTATGTCTTCGTCAAAGTGCAACGATATGTAAATATGGGGTAAAATATCACATTCTACAAAAGAAAAATATAAAAAATATTACATTAAATAACCAACATATCCCTAAAATATTAAAAATTAACAAAGTATATTGCCTTCAACAGTTGACGAGTTTTCTATTAATTTTTCTAATAATAATGCTTGCTTTGTTCTGGGACGTAACATTAAAGTGTCACTGTGCCAGATATAGCCCTCGATAAATGGTGCAATTTCTTCATTGTATTTTGTAATTTCTTGTAGAAGTATATCTTCTGTTATTGTCTCTGGAGATTGTGTATAACAAATTTTAGGGTAAAGAAAGCATTCAAGAAAATCATCTTCCCTTACTTTAGTTATCTTCGTGTGTGCCATAATTTTGCTACCTAATGTTGTTAACGTTTTAAATATTAAAACTTTCTCTCATACTTTTCATTTTATTACTTGCTTTATAGCAATGAGCACTATTTATGTGCATATATAAACAATAGTAATATGTATAAGAAAACAATTTAAACATAAAATTTACGTAATTAATATATTTTATAATTGATATATCAAACACTTAACTGTATTTATTTAAATAAATTAGTGTTTTTCAAATATAATCATAGTGCAACTGTGCGTAAAGATTTCTTCAATCTGACTTAAACCGAAGTTTAGCATACATATTGCGTACTTCCGACACGAATTTAAAATTTGTACAGACGTTCCATGCAATATAATTTTCGCTCTCTACGGTTCTGAAATACCGACACTGTCAAAAATTTACTTATTTAGTAATTCACTAGTGAATTTTACCTTGTAACGCTATCGCGTGATTGGATAGGCACGTACGACGGTAACGCCGGGCAAGGATAGCTACAGCTGCGTTCCGTGGTGAAAGCTCATAAATTGAGAGGGAACTACGAACGGTTTAGCGAGAACATTATAGACACAGTATATTATTGTAAAACACTCAACGCGGACGGTCGAGCTGAGAGGAAGTCGGAAACCAGAGAATTGTTATTTTCATCTTTGGTCATCACTCTAGTGACACTCCCCTTACGAAAAATTACTCTCTCCATACTGTTTCACTTATTTGTACTAAACCATAGAGCTATTCACGTACCCAGTCTCAGGCAGTTCTTGGAGTAAATAAAAGTAGTAGGGGAATCCCTATTCGGAGTCACTAGCACGTGGGGAGGTAGTTCACATCTTTGTCATAAACGCTACTTGACATAGAGTATAGAACAGAATTTCAAGGAGTTTTCGATGTAGAGGAAGTCTTAAGAAGATTTAAACAGTTTTTGTTTTTATTATTTTTTTCATCTTCATTAGTTTCCAATATATTTAATTCGCAATTTTTGAAGCTATTTGTAGTCTGTAAACATAAAAATAGGCAGTTATAGAAACATACATGTCCAATATTTTTCTATGTTTATTTGTATGCAAAGGTCAATTATATTTAACATGTACAAGTGATTATATTTTTTATTAGTTCGCTTCTAAAAGATTTGCTATGTTTGAACAATAATATCTATACTGAACACTCAACATTTTTTGACCGAAAGTTAGTTTCTGTAAAAAATATATTGTTTACTATAGTAGATACTACATATGCTGATTGTATCAATAATATCCTTTAAGGAATATATTAGTTTCATTTAATTATAATGTTTCCTATACTTTTAGATCAATGTATTAACTTTCCTTTGCAGTTGAAGTAGTTGAGAGTATCATAATTCTTTGCACTATTTATATTAATTTTCTTACATTATTGAATTGTAAACAATATAAAACATAAATTAATTTTTGTGTATATAGTAAGTAAAATATAATTTTAATTGTAAATATTATATAAACTATCAGTTAGATGCCTTCAAAGAAGGTACAGGTATTTTATTAAAGGTTCATTTAAAAAATCAATGCAAAACTTGGTGATTCTTTATTAATTCTAAATATTATAACTAAGGAAAAGTATCTTAATTAATTAAATTGAATTCGAGGGATATAAAGTAATTTCCTTCGATCAACAATATCTTCTAATGATCGCAAATCTGGTAAAACAGATGGAAACTCAATATGAGTATTAGACCATGTGCTTTGAGAAGAAGCTTCAACACGTGGCAATTTTTTATTGTTGTGACTTGGCGTATAATATGATTCTGTTGATGTAATTTTTGGATAGTAAGGATCATATTCTAATTCTCTTGGTATCAATGGTTTCAAAGATAAAGTTAGAGCATATATAGGTATCTCTGTAGTATTTGCCACAATAGTATTAATTCCAGGCGAAGATACTTTTGTACTTTTCTGTATAGAGTTTAAAGTTTTTATATAAGGATGATTTCTATTATTATCAAACAATACATCTGAAACATCTGAAGTTTTCGCGATTTGATTATTGTTCCTGTTATTTTGTTGATCTTGAATGCTTTTAGGTAATGTTTGTCCCGGTAATTTTAGAAAATTATGCAAAGTAATATTTGTTTTTTTATTGAAATGATCTTCTTGATTAGATTCTTTCTTTTCATTGATTTTATTTTTGTTAAAAGGTTGACTTACTATAAAAAAATTTTCGTTTGTCCTTGATCCAACTTGGTTTTGAAACTTTTCTGTTTGCGAAGGAAATAATTTCATTGTATTATCTCTGCTAACATTTCCTTCATTAATATTTTTTAGGAACCTATGTAAATTCAATGTAAATCCATGTTGTACTACACTATCTGTTTTTCTTGGTTGTGTTCCTCTTGATGATTGAAAAAAGTATTCACAATTGTTATTATTTATGGACCCTCTTATACAAGAAGAGTCATTGTACTTATTTTTTACATTTTCTACATGAAAAGAATTGGTTTTTTGACAATCGACAAGGTGAGCATGGTCACATATTAAAGCATCTTGTCGAAAAGCAGTTTCTTCTGGGCAGCGATAGGTAAATTTATTTCCATATTCATCACAAGTATGATATATTTTACATCTGGCATCAATATCTGCATAAAATCCAGCAGTCTTATCCAAGCATGAAAAATTTGTTCTAATTGGATTAAGGATTTTCTGTAAAATACATATAAATATTGTAAAATGTTTAAAAAGTTATTAAAAAAATATATAGAAAAAACATAGTCAATTAGTAAATTCTAGAAGAATAAAGATCCTAATAAATCTTAATATAATTATATTATGGAAAAATAAAAAAGTGCACAGCAAATATTGAAACTTTTGGTAGAAACAATATGTTCTTGTATTTTAATTCAATATAAATTAACAATGATATATTAAATAATGTTTCTTTCAAAAACATTTTTTTTTCTTATGCATACTTATTATTACGTGTTTCGAAATTAAAAAGAGTATTTTCAATATAAAATAACTTTATTTTAAAATCAAAACGAATTTATTTGATAAATCTTTATTTTTTCTAATACTCACAAACGTTTCCGAAGTGGCATGCACAATAAGAAATGTATATATGAAACATATTTGCGGTACTTTATTTAAGTACATTATTTTTTCTAATGAAATATACGAACGCTCAAATATAATGTCTCAGTAATTTATTGATGTTACTAGTTTACATTGAGATGTGCATATCCTTCATTGAACTAGTTAAAGTGAAAGTGAAGATGAGCTTAGAACGCAGATTCGACCCGTCTCCGGTCCCCACCATACATCTCCCTTACATGTCACTTCTTCTGCATAATGCATTTTTACTTTAAATACGTTATTTATGTTCATTAGAATTACCGTAGATTATTTAAATTTTATTAAAACTACTGTGCCTTCAAGACATTGAATGTATCATCTCCCAAATAATTTACGATTCCCGATTACATTCCCGAAGTAGTGCAACTGTAAGAGATACCAATGATGTATTATTTATTTTCAAATATGGATATTTACATAAAGATTCATGATAAAAAGGTAATGAACTATTAATGATAAAGTATACACTTACCTGAAAAACTTCGATACCTAAGAAAAATTCGTACATTTCTAAAACATATAGAAAGTGTTATAAAGAATGTCAAGAATAAAACACGTAATCGAAAAATGCTTAACTTTCGGTAAAACTCAGTGCTTTACGAGTATACCAAGGATAAAAAAAATGATTATTACATTATTTCACACATATTCAACTGGGATAGCAAAAATTTCATAATTTAGATACAATTTTTAAAATTGAATTTTGGCCGCCCAGATTGGGCAAATATTCTACACTGCAGCGTGAAAAAGGTATTAGGGTAAGTAGGGAAGAAATAACCCACTTTTTTAAAAAGAATTATTACATTGTAGATATTATTGAAAGCTAATAAAAAATAAAATATATTTATGAAAATAAACTCAAGAAAATTGAAAATATTTGACAATATTAATGAGATCTGGCCATCTCACCCAGAATTAGCCTAATTGAAAGACCAAACATAGCAGCCTGAAAGGATAAATATTTAAAAGCAGTCATAGAATGGAAAATATAAATATTATTTACATCGGTAAAATATGGGTGGACAGTACTCTGACTTTTGGGAAATACCAGCAAAGTGATGAAGAATTCGGAGTATTAAAAGATGCTACTACTTCGCAGCGGGTAATAATTATTACAATTATATAATTGTAATTAAATAATATATTATATTGTACAATTATAATTGTGCATGCAGGTGAAAAAAGTAGAGTTGTCCCGAATACGGGATTAATTTTTAAAGTCGATAAATGGATGCAATGAATTTTGAAAAGTGGATTGTATAGTATCAACAGCAATCTTGTCCTAAATTGTTGTAGTGGGTTGTGTAGTTAAAGTATGTTTAATAATTCAACATAAAACTTAAATAGCCCTATATCTTAATTATAACTACATCAAGCTATAATTAATACTGAACTATTGCACTCGTAAAAATGACCGAAGTCAGATTTTTTTATTTTGCTATTATTGATACCTTAAAAGTGTTAAATATCCGAAATGATTTTCAAGATAAATAGTTTCACTTGAATATTATAATAAATATATGAAGAAGATCTATTGTTGAAATTTTTATGAGGATTACACATTAATTATATTACAGACGAGATATATATTTCGCTTGTGTCGATAGTTTCAAGTTTGATGCTGCTAACCGACCATTGAGTATTGCTACATAAGAAAGCACTTTCATTTCCCGTACCAATTTTTGACAATAATTAGCAAATTTTCCAACAATACAAATTTTATTTTTTATAGACTTTCTAAATTCCAACATAAATTTAAATAAAACAAATGTCCTGTTTTTGTGTTTAATTATAGGACTTTCCAGTGGTAGTATATGAGATGCTTATTTTCATTAGGAGAGTTATCTACAAAGCTATATATTTATGGTGTAACAAATCGAGAGGGTTACATGCTCGTTTGTCGTAGCGTATAAACAAGTGGAAGTATGATATATGTAAAAATGTATAATTAAGTGTGAAGTTCTCGACACTTTGTGTATTATTTCTATTAAATTTCTGAAAGAGTTGATCTACCGTATACAATACAGAAGAAAGTATTCGTTGCATTAGTTTTACACCTTGTTTTCAGTGTATAAAAAGCAATCATGGCTGATGCTGCAGCGAGACAATTGCAGTATGAGTATAAAGCTGTAAGTATATTTACTAATTAGAGTTTGATTATATTCTTACACGTAATTTCATTTACATTTTCATATTTGAATTTATGCAACATGTTTATACTTATCATTACATTCAATACAATAATAAACAATTACTGTTATTTATGCTGCCTTGCATTTCGTACATTTTATATATATATATTTATATTTGTTTTTCAGAATTCTAATCTTGTTTTACAAGCTGATGTACGATTAATAGAAAGACGAAGTAGAGATGAGGCTACTGGTGAGGTTATGTCACTTGTTGGAAAACTTGATGGAACACGTATGGGTGACAGAGCACAACGTACTAAGCCAGGAAAAGCAGAAGAACGAAAAGTCAAGTAATATTAAAGATTTTTTAAAACTTTTGAAAATGTTATACACATACATGTATATGTAATGCAAATTTTTATATTTAATAGACGTCAGAAACGAGACGAAGCACAATACGATTTTGCACGGATGAAAGGAGCAACATTGCTTTCTGAAGGTGTGGATGAGATGGTTGGAATTGTTTACCGTCCAAAAACACAAGAAACACGTCAGACATATGAAGTACTATTGAGTTTTATTCAAGAAGCTTTAGGAGATCAACCAAGAGATATCTTATGTGGCGCTGCTGATGAAGTATTAGCAGTATTGAAAAATGATAAACTTAAAGAAAAAGAGAAGAAGAAAGAAACAGAATTACTATTAGGTTTATTGGCAGAAGAAAGATTTGCGTTGTTAGTAAATCTTGGAAAGAAGATAACAGACTTTGGCAGTGATGAAAAAAACACTACAAATGAAGAAAATATTGATGAAACATATGGAATTAATGTACAATTTGAAGAAAGCAGTGAAGAAGATGATGAAGATGTTTATGGAGAGATCAGAGAAAATGATGATGAAGGAGATGAAGGTGAAGAAGCTAATGATGATAGAGCAATTCATGCTGAAAATGTAAGTATATAAAATATATATCATTATGGGAAAAAAAACTGAAAAGTGTATGTTTCTACGAATTACCTTGTTTTATAATATAATTAAATTTACTTTCAGCTAGGCAGTGCAGAGGAGATGAAAAAAGAGAAACCATTGCATCCTTTAGATATAGATGCATATTGGTTACAAAGAAGATTGAGTAGAATTTATGATGATGCAATGGTTTCACAAGCAAGAGCTGCGGAAGTTTTAGCAGTTTTGAAAGATGCCGGCGATGATCGTGATTGTGAAAATCAGTTAGTACTCTTATTGGGTTATGACTGTTTCGATTTTATTAAACAACTGAAAAAATATAGGCACACAAGTAAGAAATACTCATAACAATTTATTAGCCTTTTTGTTCTGACGCATTTATAATGGGAAATACTGGCTGCAGATTAAGACGAATTGTTTAGGATGATGTATTAAGATATATACTTATTTTCAAACTATTAGTTTGAATGTTATTTCAGTGTAAAATGTCCTCCACTATTTCTGTATGTAATTGTTTATCAGAGCAAAAGGGTTAATAATACTTGTTAAAAGATATAATTAATATAATTACCAACCTTTATCAATTACAGTTGCTTACTGTACTATGCTGGCATCTTCACAGTCTGAATCAGAACGCCAAAAGATTCGAAATAAAATGAACGATGATCCAATATTAGCAAAAATTTTACGTCAGTTGGATACAGGTAAAGGTGATGACGATGCTGATGAAACAATGGAAGCAAGAGCACAGCGTAAAAGAAGAGAAGAAAATGAAGATACTGGAGGTCCTGGTGGTCAGGTTCAGGGTACAAGAAATCTAATAGATTTAGAAGACCTTATATTTGCACAAGGAAGTCACTTTATGGCGAATAAACGATGTCAATTACCTGACGGTAGTTTCAGAAAACAACGAAAAGGGTATGTGTTACGAATTTCTTTCAAATTTGATTTCATAGAAGGAATTATATTTATTCTGTTGGATTTATAAATTAAGAACAATGTAGTTATTTGAATTCTCTAATAGTTTTACGCATTATTTTTAGGTATGAAGAGGTTCATGTTCCAGCATTAAAACCAAAACCGTTTGCAGACAATGAGAAACTTCATCCGATTGAACAGTTACCGAAGTATGTGCAACCAGCATTTGAAGGCTTTAAAACGTTAAATCGAATTCAAAGTCGTCTGTATCAAACGGCATTGGAAAGTGATGAAAATTTATTGCTTTGCGCGCCGACAGGTGCAGGTAAAACTAACGTTGCTCTTCTGTGCATGATGCGTGAAATTGGCAAACATATAAACGCAGATGGCACGATTAACAGTGATGAGTTCAAAATAATCTATGTTGCACCGATGCGTTCGTTGGTACAAGAAATGGTTGGAACTTTCGGTAAACGATTATCTACGTATAACTTAACTGTGTCAGAATTAACTGGTGATCATCAATTGACACGAGAACAAATAGCTGCAACTCAAGTTATAGTATGCACTCCTGAAAAGTGGGATATTATAACAAGAAAAGGAGGCGAGAAAACTTTTACTTCGTTAGTCAGGTTGATTATTATTGATGAAATTCATTTATTACATGACGAAAGAGGACCTGTCTTAGAGGCTTTGGTTGCTAGAACAATTCGAAATATTGAGACAACGCAAGAAGACGTAAGATTAATTGGTCTTTCAGCTACATTACCTAATTATCAAGATGTAGCTGCATTTTTGCGTATAAAGCCAGAAACAGGTTTATTTTACTTTGATAATAGTTTTAGACCTGTAGCTTTAGAACAGCAATATATTGGTATCACAGAGAAAAAGGCACTAAAACGTTTTCAAGTAATGAATGAAATTGTTTATGAGAAAACAATGGAACATGCAGGTAGAAATCAAGTTCTCATCTTTGTACATTCACGGAAAGAAACTGGAAAAACAGCACGTGCTATTAGGGACATGTGTTTGGAAAAAGATACATTAGGACAGTTCCTTAGGGAAGGATCCGCATCTATGGAGGTTTTAAGAACAGAAGCTGAACAAGTTAAAAATCAAGAACTTAAAGACTTGCTGCCTTATGGGTTTGCTATTCATCATGCTGGTATGACGAGAGTGGATCGAACCTTGGTTGAAGATCTCTTTGCCGATAGACATATACAAGTTCTAGTCTCCACTGCTACGTTAGCTTGGGGAGTTAATTTACCGGCACATACCGTTATTATTAAAGGAACTCAAGTTTATAATCCGGAAAAGGGTAGATGGGTTGAATTGGGTGCATTAGATGTATTGCAGATGTTGGGTAGAGCCGGTCGTCCCCAATACGACACAAAAGGAGAAGGCATTCTTATCACAAATCACAGTGAATTGCAATATTATTTATCTCTTTTAAATCAGCAATTACCTATTGAATCACAACTGATCAGTAAAATGTCGGACATGTTAAATGCAGAAATTGTCTTGGGTACTATTCAAAACATTCGAGATGCCGTTACTTGGTTGGGATATACATATTTGTATATTAGAATGCTTCGCTGTCCAAATCTGTATGGCATAAGCCATGATAAATTAAAAGAAGACCCATTACTTGAATTACACAGAGCAGATCTTATTCATTCCGCAGCAGTAGGCTTAGATCGCAGTGGTTTAATAAAATATGATCGAAAGTCAGGAAATTTCCAAGCTACTGAATTGGGTCGAATAGCGTCTCATTATTACTGCACGCATGATACTATGGCTACATATAATCAGCTACTGAAACGTACTTTAAGCGAAATTGAACTGTTCAGGGTATTTTCATTATCCGGCGAATTTAAACATATAAATGTTCGAGAAGAAGAAAAATTAGAATTACAGAAGTTAATGGAAAGAGTACCTATCCCGGTGAAAGAAAGCATAGAAGAAGCAAGTGCGAAAGTTAATGTACTTTTACAAGCGTACATTTCTCAACTAAAACTGGAAGGATTTGCGCTTATGTCAGATATGGTATTTGTTACACAGTCTGCATCAAGATTAATGAGAGCAATTTTTGAGATTGTTTTGTTTCGCGGCTGGGCACAATTAGCTGATAAGTGTTTATCATTGTGCAAAATGATAGATAGGAGAATGTGGCAATCAATGTCCCCTTTGAGACAATTCCGTAAAATGCCAGAAGAAATTGTGAAAAAAATAGAAAAGAAGAATTTTCCATGGGAAAGGCTGTATGATCTTGGACCAAATGAAATTGGGGAATTAATTCGAGTACCTAAATTAGGTAAAACTATTCATAAATATATTCATCAATTTCCGAAATTAGAATTATCAACACATATTCAACCGATAACGCGTTCTACATTAAGAGTAGAACTAACTATTACACCCGATTTTCAATGGGATGAGAAAGTACATGGCGCTTCAGAAGCATTCTGGATTTTAGTTGAAGATGTAGATTCTGAAGTAATACTTCATCACGAATATTTTCTATTGAAAGCCAAATATGCCGTAGATGAACACTTAATCAAATTTTTCGTACCTGTTTTTGAGCCTTTACCACCACAATACTTTTTACGAGTTGTATCCGATAGATGGATCGGTGCAGAAACTCAATTACCAGTTAGTTTCCGTCACTTAATCCTTCCAGAAAAGAATTTACCACCAACTGAATTGCTTGATTTACAGCCCCTTCCAATTACTGCCTTGCGCAATTCTAAATTTGAAGGTATCTATACGGATAAATTTCCACAATTTAATCCAATTCAAACACAAGTATTCAATGCTGTTTATAATTCAGATGATAATGTGTTTGTTGGAGCACCTACAGGTTCGGGAAAAACAACAGTAGCAGAATTTGCAGTATTACGTTTGCTAATTCAGAATCCGGAGGGTAGATGTGTGTATATGGTCAGTAAAGAAGCTCTAGCAGAATTGGTATATGCAGATTGGTCAATAAAATTTAATCAACTTTTGGGCAGAAAGGTGGTATTGCTAACTGGTGAAACAGGTACAGATCTTAAATTGCTCGCGAAAGGACAAATTATAATTACAACTGCAGATAAGTGGGACGTTTTGTCACGAAGATGGAAACAAAGAAAGAATGTACAAAATATTCAACTTTTTATTGTTGATGAGCTTCAATTAATTGGCGGCGAAGAGGGGCCTGTATTGGAAATAGCATGCTCAAGAGCTCGTTATATTTCTTCTCAATTGGACAAACCAACCAGAGTTATAGCATTATCAGCTTCACTTGCAGATGCTAAAGATGTAGCTCAGTGGTTAGGTGCACCTGCCGCAGCAACTTTCAATTTTCATCCATCTGTTCGACCTGTACCCTTAGAGCTACATGTACAAGGAATAAATATTACTCATAATGCATCTAGATTGGCTGCTATGGCAAAACCAGTATACAATGCAATATTGAGATACGCTACTCACAAACCAGTTATTGTTTTTGTTCCTACACGCCGCCAAGCTAGATTGACAGCTATTGATTTATTGACTTTCACTGCAGCTGAAGGACAACCTTCCCGATTCTTTCACGCAGAAGAAGCGGATATTAAACCATTTCTCGATAGGATGACTGACAAAACATTAAAGGAAACGCTTTCGCAAGGAGCTGCTTATCTTCATGAAGGATTATCTGCTGATGACAGACGCCTTGTTGAACAGCTGTTTGATAGCGGCGCTATTCAAGTAGCAATTGTTACAAGAGATCTTTGTTGGGATTTATCTATTAATTGTCATCTTGTAGTTGTTATGGACACTCAGTGCTATAATGGAAAAACACACGCTTACGAAGATTACCCAATTACAGATGTGTTGCAAATGGTAGCTCGAGCAAATCGTCCATTAGAGGATGATGATGCTAAATGTGTTCTACTTTGTCAGAGTTCAAAGAAAGATTTCTTTAAAAAATTCCTGAACGAACCGTTGCCTGTAGAAAGTCATTTGGATCACAGACTGCACGATCATTTTAATGCGGAAATAGTAACAAAAACGATTGAGAACAAACAAGATGCAGTTGATTATCTCACATGGACTTTCTTATATAGACGACTTACACAAAATCCGAATTACTATGGATTACAAGGTGTTACGCACAGACATTTGTCTGATCATTTGTCTGAATTGGTTGAAAGCACATTAAGCGATTTAGAACAAGCGAAATGTGTTGCTGTGGAGGATGAGATGGATACTTTACCATTAAATCTTGGAATGATTGCAGCTTATTATTATATCAATTATGCGACAATTGAATTATTCAGTCTTTCTTTAAATAATAAAACCAAAATTAGAGGTTTGTTAGAAATTATTTCAGCAGCAGCAGAATATGAAACAGTACCAGTTAGACAAAGAGAAGAAAATTTGTTACGAAGTTTAGCGGCACGTCTTCCCCATGCTCCGCAAGCCACAAGAATGGCCGATCCACATGTAAAAGCACAGCTTCTATTACAAGCGCATTTGTCTCGAATACAACTCGGCCCAGAGCTTCAAAAAGATACGGAATTAGTGTTAAGCAAAGCTGTTAGGTTAATACAAGCTTGCGTTGATGTTCTTAGTTCCTCTGGTTGGCTGGCACCAGCAGTTGCCGCTATGGAACTTGCACAAATGGTTACACAAGCAATGTGGTCTAAAGATTCTTATTTAAAGCAGTTACCGCATTTTACTTCTGAAACAATTAAGCGTTGTACCGACAAAGGAGTGGAAACTGTATTTGATGTAATGGAATTAGAAGATGATGACAGAAATCGTCTTTTACAATTGTCTGAAACACAGATGGCAGATGTTGCCAAATTTTGTAATCGTTATCCCAACATTGAAATGTCCTATGAAGTTCAAGATAAAGATAAACTGCGTAGCGGTGGCACCGTGAATGTTATTGTTCAACTTGAAAGAGAAGATGAAGTAACTGGACCAGTTGTGGCACCTTTCTTTCCACAGAAGCGTGAAGAAGGATGGTGGGTGGTTATTGGTGATCCAAAGACTAACTCTCTGCTGTCTATTAAAAGATTAACGTTACAGCAGAAAGCAAAAGTTAAACTTGATTTTGTAGCTCCTGCCCCTGGGCAACATTCTTACACTTTGTATTTTATGAGTGATGCTTACTTGGGATGCGATCAAGAATATAAATTTACCATAAATGTAGGAGAATATGAGTCAGATGCAAGTTCGGGGTCAGAGTCAGATTAAGAAAAATAGGTTCACATATTTTGACAACTGTATTAGTATATTAAAAAGAACTATGGTCACATCTTCTTCATTTGTGAAATGTCATTTAGTTTTATATTCAACTGTAAATGTAATATATATATATATATATAAGAATAGATTTGTCAAGTGTAAGGAGTATGACTCATTATTATTTAATAAGATAGGATTCAATAATAAATAATTATTTTTTACCATTTATAAACAGAATCAACATAAACTATTTAGCTTTCCTTTTTGTTTTAATCTGGAACAATAAGACATATTGGTAAAGACAATATGTAACTTGTTTCATTTGTATAATTTAAATTCTTTTTTGACATTATTATTAATTATTGCATTTATAGGAAAATTTCGAAAAAGTACAAACATTATAAAGAATGCGATA